TTAATGAATTACACATTTAATTAATTGTTTATCGCTGTATTTATTTAATTGTAGCACTTTATATTAGTGACGTGGTTTTAATTAATGAATGACACATTTATTTATTCAATTCCACACTTAATTAATTATTGATACATTTAATTATTTATTTAATGCTGTGTTTATTTATTTAATTTTGGCACTTTTTATCCTCCATATAACTTGGCTTTAGCTCCACTTGTGGTATTAAGTAAAACCAAAAAAAGAAAAACAACTGGATGGACCACACATGTAAAGATACATCCATCTAAACTATGGAGAGTGGAACAGGAATGCCTAACTACACATCTAAATGCTCACATGGCTGCTACAGCCATGTACCGTAAAAACCTTCATAGCAATTTATATTTACATCAATTTTAATTTTGAGACTAAAAATAGTCTTGACATAAGCATATAAGACAGATATAGGGAAATATATTAGCTGCTTTCATGGAAAAATAACTGTTTACTTACCCTGCATTTTGAATTTGTTCACCTGGTATGGATCCATACCAATAAAATCTTCTCTTTCTGTCATTTTAAGGGCACAACATCTATCATGTCATGTATAGAGCTCCAGAACTTGACTAAGACAAAAGTAATAAAAAACTCACATAATAAAAACAAATAAAAGCTTCTAAAATGCTGCTTATAATGCTGAATTTTCCAGAGACCCTTACTTCTGATTCAGCCCTATGGGAACTATCAATAAAAATGAAAGTTAAAAAAAGCCTATTTTCAAATTTATGAAATAAACTTAAATCCAGAATAAACTGTTATTGTATTAGAATGAGCAAAATACAGAAATGTGGCAAAACAGCGTTCTTAACAAATGAAGCAAAACAGATAACCTACAGGGGAATTACGGGGGATAAGAGCACAACCAGAGTAATAGTGAAGCAGGAGAATCTAGTAAGATATATTACTATCTGTCAAAACAAAAAAAAACATTTTTAAATTTTATATAGAAAATTTAAAATACGGTACTACTAAAAACACTGTAGGTATGCCAGGACTATTGGTTGGGCTCTGACACTGCCAATAAAACATAGAAAAAAATGGTAGGCGTGCACAGAAAACAGATGTGAAGTGAACACAGCAACATTTTGACAGATCAGACATTTTTGCATAATTAATACTTGCCTTTATGTGGGCTGATAGGGGACTTGCCCTGCTGGGAGCGGGCTTCTGTGGAATCAAAGCCTAAACAACAAAATACCGTTGCTGATACATCTTATCTCATTGCTTTGTTGACCAGCGAAAAAAAAAAAAAACACAAGGATAATTTATTTATATGTTGACATCTTAGAAACAGTAAAAAACTAAGAAATGAACCATATGTCTAGATATGTCAAACAACCGGAAAGTGGACAATTCAGAAATTAAAAGAAAACAGAAACAAAGGGAGAGCTGCTCATGCTAGATCTTCTTTAATTCTCAAAGAGCAAAAAAAGAATAATCTGATCCTAAAATAAAACAACTAAACAAACGGTTTCAGTCCGTATTAATTTTTTCCAAATAAGTTATGAAATAAGCATGCAACATATTTAGTGCAAATACAAATTTTATCAAAAATAAAACCTGCCCAAAAGTGGTGATAATTAGAAGCTTCTATGTACTTTTCTGGCTTTACATAAAAGCTTTTTTTATTAACAGCTTTTATTAAATTAAATATAAAGATTCAAACTTTATAATTGTAGAGCAATAAAACAGTTGTTGGTAAACAAAATTAAATCAGTTTAACTGATAATGTGAGAATAAGCAGGAGGGAGAGGAATATGTGCAGAATATGTGCAAAAAATTGGGGCATTTGCTTTGCTTCTTGATCACTGAACCTGCAGATCATACAATGTTTTAGAAGGACTCATTTTGATTATTGTGTCACCAAAGTCCTTTAATGTTCCAGAGAGTCGTGGAGAACGAGCCAAAAGGTTGTTCCGCCATTACACAGTGGGATCATATGACAGTTTTGAAGCTCCAAGGTAGGAACAGAACGCTGGATGTCTTTCTTACATCTGTGAAAAAAGAAAAAAAATAACCTCAGGGCAAATTGTGAAATACATCAGTCCAGAGTATTTTCACAGGTTATTTGAAAAGTAACTACGTAAAGATTGTTTTGACATTTTTTTTCCTCTTCCAACAATGAATACAAGGCCCAGTTTCATTCACTTTGATGTTTTCTAACTGAAATCAACTGATTTTACTCATCATATTTAATTTATTAGATGTTTACTCAGGTTCTGGTCTGGTTTAAATGACTGGATTGTTGTTGTTTTTTTTTTTGCCATACACATATTTAACAACAAAATATTTAATGTAATAAACCCTTTCTACCATTTATTGTCTAGAAACTTGGATGAAGCAATGGCAATAATAATATAATAATAATAATAATAATAATTATAATAATTATCATTTTCTGCCTATTCAGCCCTTATTTTTTGGGTCCATTTAGTACTGTAGCTTTATGGCTTTTGCTTATTATGCCCCCTTAGTTTAATGTGAAGGAATTTATTTTGTGTTGTCAACATGGCAAATCACTGAGGCCAGAGTAAGGTACACAGAAACACTATAAGTATCGATCACATGTATTATTCACACTTTCTTTCACCTGTGGTTTCAATCAACCTCTCTAAACTCTGATACCCAAACTCACATATATTATTAATATGCTTCATCAACAGTGTCATTTCATTCACAAAACCCACTCCATTATGCAAATCCCTGTTTGTTTGTACACACATGACCACATACATCATTTATAAATAAAGCAGCATTCCAGCAGTGATGGGAATCTTTTGGACATAGATGCACCAGAGGCTGACTCAGATCTGCCCTCAGATGGGCCTACTTTTATCGTTTCACCTGTTCCTCCTTTCATGTTTGGCTGCATCTCCTGATAGTTTTCTGCTTCCCGCCCTCGCCTTCTATTCATCGCTCTACTGCGATCCCCCCCTTGCACTTTTTAATTTTCTTTCTATCACCCTCACCTCCCTGCGGTGTCTCCATCTGGAGGTCAGACAGTGAAGGGCACTCGAGGGGGAGGCGGGAGAGAAGAGATTGAAAGGAAGAAGAAAATGCATCCTGCGTTTTTGGAGATGGTGATTATAATCAGGATTCTGAGATGGTTTAGACTTTCTGTTGAGGTTAGAGACACTGTTTGACATGTGGAGGAAGGTTCTAAACCACTGTTAGTCAATCTGAGCAGGTTCTGAGGATGCTTTGTATATTTACAGG